TTTTTTTTTTTTTTTGAGTGCTGGAGATGGAACCCAGGGCCTTGCAAATTCTAGACAAGTGCTCTACTACTGAGTTACACTCCCAAGCTATACCCATCTCACCTGGCCCTGCGCTAGAAAAGTTTGCCAGACTGTGCTGGGTGGGACGTTAGCATAATGGCTCACGAATCACCCTCCCTGAGCTGGCACAATTTTATGCAGCAGAAAGACTTTTATTCAGCCTTCAACAGCGTCTGACACATGGTAGATATTCAGTAAATATCTTTTGAGTGATTGAATTAATTAGTGTGTTCCCAGGTATCCATTCCCGCAGTGCCTGCTCTTTTTATTGCCAAGTGTAAAGCTTACTTGGATCCTGATTTGGACACACTAAGAGAAGTATAAGACATGGAGGAAATGTGAATGCTATTTAAATATTTGAAGAGATAGGGCTGGGGATTTAGCTCAGTGGTTCTGCCTCCTCCTGCCTTGCAAGTGCAAGGATGCGAGTTTGATTCCTGGTACCAAAAAAACCCAAATATTTGAAGAGATATTGAGCAGTTTTTGTTCATTTATTTTTAGGTATTATAATTATTTGGATTTTAAAGGGGTGTAGCAAAAGATGGTTAGGATACTAACCTAATGGGCAGTTAGGATGGTAATGTTATGTGTACTTAACACAACAAAATGTTGGGGGAAAAAATTCATGTTTTAAAGGTATATACTGAAGCGTGTGCAGATGAGATGATGGAATGTCTGAGATTCACTGAAAATAATCCCAAGAGTAGGAAGACAAGAGCAAAATATATGGGCATAAAAGAGAGAAAGTAGGCTACCAGTTGATAATCAACTAAATTATATGATGAGGCTTTGTTATGATCATCTTTACTCTCAATATGTTTGACATTTTCTGTAGTAAAACATAAAATAATAATAAACAGTGGTTTGGGCTAGGTGATGTCAGTGGTAGAAAAAGAAGACAGGGAAGAAGTCCCTGCTGGCTGGTCGTCTGCTGTGTTTGTTTCTTGTTTGTTTGTTTGTTTGTTTGTTTGTTTTAAGACTTGGTCTCACTCTTAGTTCAGGCTGGCCTTGAACTCGCTGTGTAGCCCAGGCTGGCCTTGGACTCATGGTGATCCTCCTGCCTCAGCCTCCTGAGTGCTGGGATTTCAGGTGCGTGTGCACCACCATATCCAGCCATGGCCATCTACTGTGAGTGGTCGTTTATCCTTGTGTAGAGAACCAGCATAAACTTGATCAGTAAAGTATCACCTAAGTGGGAATTAGGAGTTTAAAAAAATAATTATTATTATTGCCACTGCCCAGGGGACAATTGATGGTGACAGAGAGGGGGACCCATGGTCCAGGGTCACCCGGCTGCTACTCCTCAACCCCCGACCCTAAAGGGCTCGGTGCTATCCCTGGTTGCTTACTGGCCAGGTTGCCATTTTCTGCCCGAATGTTAAAGTTTGAAGCAGAAGTGTTCTCAAATCCCAGACTGTCTTAGTCACTCTTTTCTTTGAAGCTCTAGGGATTGAACCCAGGGCCTTCCCACTAAGCTACACCCTCAGCCCTTTTTTCTTATTTTGAGACAAGGTCTCACTGAATTGCCCAGGCTGCGCTTGAATTTTCAATCCTCCTGCCTCAGCCTCCCAGAGTGCTGGGATTACAGGTGTGCACCCCCACGCCTGGCTTTTAGCCACTTTTCATGGAGTTAGAACCAGAACTTGTGTGAGGTCACTAAGTGGAGGAATGGGGTAGAGGCTGGAAGGCAGGCTTGGATGTCTCATACACCTGGGTTCCTATTTCCAGTGCAGTCACTCACTGGCTGTGTCACTCTGGGCACGGAACATCAGTCTGGCCCCCGGTTCCTTCCTCTGTGAAGTGGGCGTAACTATAGGTGCCTGCGTGGGTCCTGTGTGAACCCACAGGCAAATCCCCCGGCCCGGCAGCTGCTGTTGCCGCTTCCCTGGGTGGCAGATGTGCCTCCCCCAGGGCGAGGCTTATCGAGTGTATCAGATCCAGACTTGGACGGCCTTCAGAACGGTGGGCCTGTGCACCTTGCCCTTTCAGCCCCAGGTGACGTGTCCTGGCTGACAGCCATGGCCCCGCCCTGCCACTCTCCCTAGACCTGCTGTGGCAGCCCTGAAGCAGCCACTTTTCCATGCTCTACCCGCCTCGAATGTCTGTGAGCAGCTGTGAAGAAAGAGCTCTCTGTCCCTAGCAGCCAGGCCTGGAGTCGGCGCTGGCCGGCGGTGGGCTGGGCCAGGCCAGGCCAACTCTGCCCCTGGGCCTCATCCGGACCTGGCTCCTCCCCGCCTCTCATGAGGTCAGAGGCACAGTTGCGGACTCTGCAGGGACCAGTTCAGTGCTTCTCCACAAAGACAAGCCCAGGCCTAACCTCCCTGCCAACCTGGAGCTGGGCAGGGATGGCAGCAGGAGAGAAACCCAGCCCCCTTGGTGGGGACCCCCAGCTGTTCTGTGATGGGACTCTGTCTTTGTGTAAGATGTGCTCCTGGGGCTTGAAGGGTACAACCTGTGCTTTGTCTGTTTGATCGGTTTGGGGTTTTTTGAGACAGGGTCTCTCTGCATACCCCGGTCTGCTCTTCAATTCACTGGGTAGCCCAAGATGGCCTCCAACTCATGTTGCTCCCCCTGCCTCACCCTCCCCAGTGCTGGGATTACAAGTGTGTGCCACCACACCCGGCTGTGTAACCTGTTCTTTGATCTGAGCTCTTCTAGTTAATTGCCTCATTACCCACTTGCTTGATAAATGCCACCACCTTTCATTTATCGCTTGTCATCAGTCACAGTGCTTAGCTGTCCTGGGAATTCTACGAAAAGCTGTAACAAATACAGTCGCAGTGGTGACAAGTCCGTTATCATGTTCAATCTTAGGGTTATAAGAAGCTAGGAGACAAACATTCTTAAAAGAGTCAGTATAAGCCAGGTGTGATGAGACACAGCTGTAGTCCCAGCTCTGTGTGAGGATGAGGCAGGAAGATCAAGCCCAGTTCAAGAGCATCCTGGGTAGCATAATGTGACTTTGTCTCAAAGTGAATTAAGTTAGTAAATACCACTTCTGCTCAGTTCTGTGGGAACTGTGAGGGCTAATTAACCTCTTGCCCTTCTCCATGAAAATCTGACCTTTACTTAACCCTCCAGTTCTCTTTCTCTGAGAACCTGGCTACCGTAGAGGTGTCATGTCAGCCGTGATACTGGCAGCATTGCGTGTGGTCAAATGACCCCTGATGGGGAAACGGTGTCTCGGCTGAGACAACCTTAAAGACTTGGTGGGAAGCCGTGCCTTCGAGATTTGCTGAGTGCAGTGGTCCTGGTACCTGAGCAGAAAATAACTTGTGTGGAGTTGCTACGATACCCTCTGGTTCTGGGTGCCTTTCTGCCAGGGAGGGTCCTGTGCTCTCACTTCACTGGACTGAGCCGTCCCCAAGGGCCAAATTGTCCTGCCCTGGGCCACTGAGTACAGTGCTGTGGGGACACCACCACCCCTTGGAGCTTTACTTCTAAGTGACTCTCATGCCCGAGCAGCCTCTCAGAGTCTTAGGCATCTGGGGCAACCTCAGCTCAAACACACACACAGATCTGCAAGTACACATGCGTGTGTGTATGTGTGCGTTACATATGGCTTTCGTTTGTGCTCCTATTTCAGCCACCATCGGGCCTCCAGGAAACATCATGGTCAGCCCAGGAGAAGGCTCCCTCATCGTTACGTTCTCTGCTCCCTTTGACACCAGAAGCCCCTCAGAGGCCACTTTTTCTTATTACGTCTGTTACTGGAAAAAAGGTGGAACCCAACAGGCAAGAGCGTTTTGCTTCTTTGTTTTGATTTTCTTTTCTTTTGAATTTCTGATTCAGGAGAAGAAGGGAAAATAAACAGGCCAGGAGACCAGTGTCTCCCAGAGAGCGTCTCTGGGAAGCTGAGCACCAAGCCTGTTTCAATTCTCCTCAAACCCGATTTTCTGCTCTGTGCAGGGGCTCTGCCACCAGGGGGAGCGCAAGAGTCCCTGCCGGCTGTGAACCGTTCTGCTGCTGGGGTCCAGTGTACCTGGTGCATTGCCCTGGAAGCCTTTGCCGCCTCTGCACTTGGGGGAGGTTTTTAGTGGATCTGTCTCTGTTCAGACTATTTATATAGTTAAGCCTTGCACACCTCTTGGCCTTGGAATTCCATTCCATTTTATTTAGCCTCCGAGCTCCAAAAAAACACCTGGGTGACCCCAGGAACAGGGTGCTTTTTCTTCCACTGCCCACTCCCTTTGATGGCGACACCTCCATGCCCGCTTTTCACGGCCCACAAGAACAAAGGCTCCACAAGCACTGTCTGAAGGGTTGGGTGGACAAATGGTTTGAACGGTCTGCAAGGGAGGCCTGTGTGTCTGGGTGGAAACCTGCCGGAAGGAGACAGTGGGGCAGCAGGTGCGAAGGCCTGGCACACGGGAGAGCTGCGGATTGCCCGGATGTGGGGGTGTGCCAGGCAGGAAGGTCAAAGGGCACCAGGTCAGAAGGGTCTGTTCACCCTGGGTGGCTGGAGTCCAGCCTTCCCTAAGGTCATTTTGACCGAAAGTATACAAGGATCAGCTCATTTCAGTTCCGGCTAGAAGCAGGTTGGGGATTAAAGGAACATGATTTCCTAAAATATTTTTTTCTCTGTTGACTGACTCAGAGTATCTAGATCAGATTAACCATAAAGCAGAAGATGTTAATCTTAAAGGAGAACATTTTATCCCAGAAATTTGGATTTGTTAAATTCCAGGTGGGGCTGGGGATTTAGCTCAGTGGTTCCACCACCTGCCTCACAAGCACAAGGTCCCAATTTCAATCCCCGGTACCAAAAAATACAAAAAAAAAAAAAAAAGT